TGTGTGTCGTGCGTCGTGTGTGTGTGATGAATTTATGTCGCGGCTTGGGCCTTTGGCCTACCGTTCAGGATTTCGGGGCCTCTTGGGGTGTCTTAGAGGATCCACAGAGCCGCCGGGATCAGCTTTGAGTGCAAAGGAAAGGTTCAGAATACTTCTTGCAACCACTAGCTGCATTCCATCATCCTCCAGAGACGTTACCTCAATGCTCCCTTGCTTCCTTGAGGTACGCCGAAGCCCGAAGCCCTTCGGATTTGAAGCCCCAAAGGCCCAAAACCTCCCCCCGAGGTTCCGGCTCTTCTCCCGAATCTCCTTGATGTTAGCACCCCGCTTTCCGATGACTCGGGCCGCTGGCACCACTGGGAGGAAGAGGTGGCATGGCACCTTGGCAACCAAGATTCTGGCTGAGGTTGGGCTTATAGTGTAGGGTCTCAGGGTGGAGGGTTTGCTGTGATGTTCTGCTGCAGCAGTACAAGTTATGCAACAGGCACATAGGAATGTCGAGTGCTCAGTGCTTTGAAACATGCAAGGCCTATCCGGCACATGCACCCATTCATGTTGTCTAAGGCGACCAAGCCACCGTTTTCAGGGATGAGACCGAAACTCACTCACAAACGACCCGACTTTTTCAACAACTCGTCCGAGGACGCGCCCGAAGCGAGCAGGGAAAGGCACGTGCTCTGGCCTCCGAGCTCTGCGGGCTCTCAGGTTTAGGGTTCCGCGTTGTGGCTAAGCAGCTGAAAAAAATCTTTTAGTCAGAAAACAACAGAGATCTCGACGAATTCGATCTGCCCCGGCTGGACACGCGTTTGGCCCAATCTGCTGGCACTCGAAATACGCCGAAAGTTTCCGAGTTCTGGACTAAACCACCACGAACACGAAGCTACTCCGGTACTATATCAGCACAAGGCACTACTCCTGCGGCCTTTGTAATTTGGGGCTTGGGGAAAACCTCCAGGCACCCCAAAATTAGAAAACCCTTGAAACCCTTAAGCACCCTTAAAAACCCTTAAACACCCTTAAAAACCCTGACAAACCCTCAAACCCCTTAAACACCCTATTGAAAACCCCTGCAAACCCTGACAAGCCCTCAAAACCCTTGTACCCCTGTTTCGGTCGGAAACCCTAAACCCTAAACCCTAAACCCTAAACCCTAAACCCAAAACCCAAAACCCTAAACCCTAAACCCTAAACCCTAAACCCTAAACCCTAAACCCAAACACTAAGTCCCTAAACCCGGAAACCTTAGCCCGGCGCCCTCGGGAGCTCCTCGGGGGTCTGCTCCACCGCTTTGGCGCCCTCCTCTTCGGCCTAAGTCCGGGTTTAGAGGTATGGTTCAGGGTTTAGGGTTTAGGGTTTAGGGTTTAGGGTTTAGGATTTAGGATTTAAAATTCAGGGTTTAGGGCGCTTTCTCTCGGGCCCTTTCTCATCTACCTAGCAGGCCCGCGACGGTAAACAGCATAGGG